ATCTTGATGACAAGCAGTTGATAAGCGGGTTTCCCGCAGGCGCAATGTAAAAGTCATGCGAGGCTGAAATCAGCCGACCAAGAACTATTTTCGACTACAGTCTGTGTAGCAGCCTGCCATGTTCTCTGATTGGCTTTATATCGCGTCTTATCCTTTCCCATGTATAGTTAGGAAATATTCCGGTAACATGTCACGTTATCGATAAGCTTGTGTGTTTGAGCTCATGACATGTCGAGCAGACATGTACAGTAGCACTGACATGTGACCACCGCGTGTCACCCATAGCCCTGGTATACATTAGCCATCTAGTTACGGGTGCATGTACATGTACATGTACGTGTAGCTCACTTCCTAGGCTTGTGTTAGTAAGTCAGCAAAGGATATCTACGTGCAGCAGCCAACCGAGCTGCTACGGAGTACCATAGACAGATATCATGGCACTCCTCGTGCGTGTGTTTTTCATAATGCTTGCAGAGAGTCTAAGCCGAAAGCGAGCAAATAGTAAATAATTTGTTTCATTGAGGGCTTTGCTCCGGAATGCAGCGCTCATTTTCGCAAGGCAAACGAACCTTATCGTGATCCGTGTGGTACACCCAATTGATCCTGGAATATACACCAACAGCTGGTATGTGGAAACATTTTGGATAGTTTTGTTTGGTGAGTGGTGATTGATTCAAGGTAACTCGATGGTTCCTATCCTTCTGTTGTCTCCGATAGGGTTTTGTTGGCCGGATTTGAATTTACCATTGTAATTGAGAACATTTCCCAGTGCTGGTTTTCAACAGTGTTGCAACCAGTAGAGACGAGCACTATGGTGCTTCAGTTTAAGGTAAGTGACGCTGTAATGTAAGTGTGACTCAATGATGTCCTTTCTTTTCCTGTCAAAGGACCGTTAAAATACAGTCAACGTGTTCAAGGGACTGTAGTTTTTGCTCATTTTCGTTGCGCTTGCCTTCCCGTCTTTGGTATTTCCATAACCTTGAACCTTCCAAGTTGGAAGGCTGTCGGTTAGCGCTACGGAGATGTGATGAAGCTAGGTGTCAGGACGTCGAATGTTTCAGTACTCTGTCAGTTTTGTGCCTAGTTATTGCACTTTCTGACTGTATATAGTATCATGTTACAGTGATGGAGAGTTACTCTTAACTCGTATCCATATGTCCTTTTCTCTTCTAAAATCATACATTCTTCCCCTCTTCACGTACGGCTTCCCTGCCTGGCCCACCATTAACAAAACCCACATAGCTAAATTAGAAGTTCTCCATCGCCGTATACTGCGAATCATATTCCGTACTGATCGTTATATCTCAAATCTAGACTTGTATGCTGCTGCATCCACTACCACTCTGCAACATTACCTTGATGCTTCCAAGTGCACCCTGGCACATTCAATTTTCCTTGACCAGCACCCTGCTCATTTACAGTCCCTTAATTGGTTCAATTCATGTGGCACCACCCGAAGCTGCGTTCGTCTCCCCCTAGCTAGGTCTACCCTATTCGTAAATTCCCCTTTCTTTTCCTCCAACTCCACGTGGCTCCAACTGCCTCCCAGTGTTAGACAAGCTCCAGATATGCCCAAATTCCGTGCCCTCGTCAGACAGCACTTCAGTATCTCCCAGTAAACAAAGTCACAGTCACCACTTCCGCTGCATAGCCCGCTGAGCATCCCATTGCTTTGTAAGTTGCTAATCCCTTCCCACTTTGTGTACGTGCTCTTCATTTTCTTTTTTCTCTTCTTCCGTGGTTGGTCTCACCCTCTCCTCAATTCAATTGTCTGTCTTGACATGCCACGAGGTGCAGAAATAAATAAATAAATAAATCAGGTGCATTGTATACAATTGTGTAGCCTACATACTAGAACTGTGATGCAATCATGCAGTTACGCTCCTAGCTCCGAAAGGATGCCAAATTATGCTCCAAATGTTCAACCACCAAATTATGCCAATAATTATGCCGGCATAATCCGCCGGTGCCTAGCCCCGATGTGTGGTTCCAGAGTTACGAAGCCTGAAAGTCGAATCGCGGCGAATGTCGCGCAATAGCCGCGTGCGCAGATTTGAATGAGGGATTTCCCAATCATTCTGGGCATATAGTGACGGTGAAACACGTTCCAAATGGCATACAGACTAGTGACAGTTTGTACACCTTTTGAAGTAATTAGTTGTTACGAGCAAGGCTGAGAGCGAAATGGCAAGACGACTTCTGTTGGATTATTGGCGTGGCAACTAAGACACTGGGATATAGCGCCAGAGTTTTGACATTCGTAATGGCAAGTGTAGGCTCCTCTTGCGACGAGCTTTCCAGGAAGCCCAAGATTGAAAAAATCGTCAAAAGGAGAATAAAGTCGTAGCCCGGAGAATTATGGAATTTGAGGTGAGTCGAGATCAAATTCAGTCGGCGTACATTTTCCGTACATAAATTGCTTCAGAGAGCATGATATCTTGCGCGACTGTTGCCGTCATTGTTTATTTTGTTGCCGTGGATCAGTTTATGACTCGTATTTCTCGTCTCTGGTGCTGTTGTCTGCGTGTTGTGGTCTTTGGCGATTTCATTCAAAGAGAGGGCAAGGGCATTGAGGTTTTAGTGCTGGTAGATTAGTGGAAAGGCATGAGGCCTCGCTCCTTGTGTGATGCATTACGCTGAATTAACTTAGGACTAATACCCTCGCAGTCAGCATTATTGGCCTCATTGGTTTCCAGATATGGGTAAAGACTATGTGACTAATCCAGCGGTGCTAAACATGTTTGTTGTTCGTGTTTGTATTTATCTGAAGAAGAAGTGCCAAGAACCCAATAACATGAGAGCGAATGTGATGATGGCTACGGCCAACATCTTCGTGTCCTGTTTCTAACAGATATCAATCCACACTGTACTGTCATTGGTAATCTGCTACTATGTACTCACCGGTACTACAGTGATGAGTTGTCCAGCGCCATGTTCGTGTGATGGTGCACCTCGGTACATTGTACATTGCCAGTCTCGCGGATTACCAATTGTGCCGGGTGGAATACCGAATACAACAAAAATTCTGTAAGTCACCCATCTTGGAATATGCCGTGCAGCCATTCACACTTTCCACATCTGTTACACTGAATTGTCGGCATTTGCAATGTGATGAGATCACCGGCTCAAAGTTCTGTAAGGGATGGATTTTTTTGATCCATTGTTTATTAGAAAGCTCAGGACAAGAAGAAGCCATTGTAGCAAGTCGCATCTCAATTGTGACACCCTCACCACCAGCAATACAAAACTCGACCCACGGCGGCCGTTATCATAAATAATTTGCAACACACTAAAATATTTTCAGATCATTACAAATTGGGGATCAACGTTGTTTGAAAACCTGGGCTTTCGAGCAAAAGCATCGCATTGACTCCATGGTGAAGAATCGTTGGATGACAAAGCTCAAAGTGTTGGTTCACATATCGCCGGTACGCGCCGGGAGTCACCGGGAGTGGGCCTCTGGCAACTTATCCCGGCGCATTGCGATTATGTAAACCAGTGCAGTCAACAAAATCATACGGTAAATCATCACAAGGGACCGCCGGCAAAGTTGGACACTCTCCAACTCTTGCGATTTACCCCGGCGCCGATCCCGTACAATTTTGACCAAAAGTGGTTTGTGACCCGTTCGCGCCGGTGATCGTCGGTACCGGTAGACAAGACTTTGTCAAAATTTCAAACCAAGACTCATCCTAAATTTTCATAAATTGAAGCTAAATGTTCGGTACCTCCTCCCGTACAATCTTACCTACAACCTTTCCTAAGCTGGTCGGCCTGCATGCACCCGTACTACGTCATACTCACCTTTCATTCCGTTGGCCTGGGTAGCTACTTGCGCGCGCATGTTTGCCATAGCTAACCAGGCCCTTTATATTGCGTTGTTTCTCAGTCGAGCTCTCTCTCTTCAATAATCTCGCTCTCGTCAATAATCATAATGTAGTTGTAGTAGTTCGTCTTTGTCTCCATCTCTTCGTCTACCCTAATAAATGTCGTTCCACCTACCTGTCCCATTGTGAATTGTGTCTGGAGAATATTGGGTCTAATCCATACTCAACATTGGCGCCCGACCATTGCTGAGAACCCATGACCCTCTTGCTCTACCGCCCGGCATTCGTCTCGTCGTCAGTCTCGTCTAGTCTTCAACCTCGTCTCGTCTCTGTCAACCTCGTCTCGTCTATGTCTACCTCATCTCGTCCAAGTCATGCAGGTCAGCTATTTTTCATTGTTTCTCTCTCTCTCTCTCTCTCTCTCTCTCTTTCGTGCGTCCTACTTCGTCAACTTTATTTTCAGTTTATTTATTTCAAGAGTCGGCGTGGAGAAAGCAATTTTATGAGTGCAATTAAGAGTATAATAGATGCAGACATGGCCAGACAACAACGCGTTATGCCTCATTTCTTGTTGGATGAGAGCAACGAAGTAAACAAGAAATGCTGTTCTTTTCGAAACGCGGGTGCACAGTCCAGAGTTCACCGACTGTGCTGGGAGTGTGGTACGCACTGGCTGCACAGTGCGGAGTTGCAGCATGCACATGAAGGTGCATAAAGGTGCATGCTGGTCTGAAGACAGTGTTCTGCACATGATGGTGCATGCTGGTCTGAAGACAGTGTTCTGCACATGAAGGTGCATGCTGGTCTGAAGACAGTGTTCTGCACATGAAGGTGCATGCTGGTCTGAAGACAGTGTTCTTTTTGTTCTTTTTTATCTTGCACTGCTGCTGTACAGGGGCGTTCTTTTTGTTCTTGGAGCAGCTGTTGCTGCGACCCTGCTGTTGCTGCGACCCTGCTGTTGCTGCGACCCTGCAGTTCTATTGTTGTTGTTGTTGTGGTGTGTACGAGAGAGTCGAAAAGAAAATGGAATTTTTAAGGATTTTTATTATTCAAAATTAACTCGTTGTCTGGCCACGCCTACATCTATTATACTCTATATTTATTTATTTCGTGATTTTTTGTAGTGTGTGTGCGCGAATGTTTCCGGCCATCAATATTAGGGGTCCGTTGGTGAGCCACGCTCTATCATTCTGGTTGCAAAAAAGTGCATAACTAAGCTGTTTAGCCATGCGAAGCAGAACAAACTGTAGTTCATGTAACATGTAGTCCACTGTATAACAGTTTTTCATGGCCAGCAATCAAGGACATCTGAGAGTTGTAATTTTTGTACTCCTCCGAGGTGTGATTTTTGGCGTGCTGGGCCAAGCACAAGGAAGCCATCTGCAAAAAAACTGCAGAAAATGGTTGTTGTTTGATCCTTTGGTGTAATCTTTGTTTCTAGTCGAAGCTAGTTGCTGTTTGGAGCAGAAACGCTGAAATTGACTATTTTCTGCATGTACTCATACATGTACTCATGTACTCAGGCATGCAGTCTCACTCGTATTTTAGCTCTTTTTCTGGAATGGATGCTGCTCTGCGCCCCTTGGTGAACATTTCCTGCGCTCGTGGAGCAGCTGAAAAGGACCACTGGTATGTCTGGTTCCTGGTTTGAAAGTGGAGAGTTGACTTTTGTGCCTTGAAAAAGGAGTAGAGAGCGATAAAGGTACGTCTGTGGCTGATTTTTGAGTGCTCCTCGTACATTTGTGATCGTGATAGAAATTCTTAGACCAAAGTCAGACCAAAGTCAGCGCGATGATGGTCGTACAGTTTTCTTGTGGATTTTTTAGTTGTTTCATCTCGTATCTATGTCAGTATCGTGATGGTGAAGTGGAGAGGGTGATTTTCTTCCTCTAGGCTTCGTTCGGCCGACTTTGCTTCGTCCTCGTTGAAAAGTGATCCTGAAAAAAAGGTCGATTCGCAAAATTATGTTGATTTTCAATGTACGTGATGACATGCGATTGCTGGCTATGTGAGATCCATACGTTGTGTGTGTGTGTGTGTGTGTGTGTGTGTGTGTTTTCTCATCGTCTTAATATTTCCCGCGAGGTCGCGCTTCTTTTTTTGCTCAGGGGAGGTATGTTAGGTACCTCCTCCCGTACAATCTTCCATACAACATTTCCTAAGCTGGCCGGCCTGCATGCACCCGTACTACGTCATACTCACCTTTCGTTCCGTTGGCCTGGGTAGGCACTTGCGCGCCCATGTTTGCCATAGCTAACCAGGCCCTTTATTTTGCGTTGTTTCTCAGTCGAGCTGTCTCTCTCTCTCTTCAATAATCTCGCTCTCGTCAATAATCATAATGTAGTCGTAGTAGTTCGTCTTTGTCTCCGTCTCTTCGTCTACCCTAATAAATATCGTTCCACCTACCTGTCCCGTTGTGAATTGTGTCTGGAGAATAGTGGGTCTAATTCATACTCAACATAAGATGAGGTCCGTTCGCCATTCTTGTAGCCGTTTCAAGGTCGCAAATTAAGGAGGCTCAGACCACCAAACTCCAAAAATTAACAAACATGGAAAGTTGGGAATTTGTCCCTTGGGTAGTGCTTATGTTGACTGTCCGAAAAAATTGTGGGGGGATCACTGATATGTTCGGCGTCTCTTGAGTTGTTTTTTGGAGAGGCGTCAATACATGATTTTCTTCCATTTTCAATAAGAAAAATCTGTTCTGTTTCCTGTTGAAGTGCATCTTCCCCAGATTTTTTAGTCTAATCTATGCAGGCCACAACTATGACACATACCCACCGTTGATATTTGTATATCTTACTTTACTTAGTAAGTAAAAGTGGGGAGGCTTCCTGCAGTTTCATAAACAGTTTTAAGTAGTAGAGCCCACACGCTCTCTTCCATTAACACTGCAATAGTTCAACTCATTTCACAATATTACAACATTTCGGCAAATTGCCTTAATCAGGTTCACAATGATGTGATGTGCAAATTTACCACCAGCTTGGCGGGGTAGCTATGGGCAATAATCTTGCACCACCATTTGCGATTTTGTTTATGCACACCATAGAAACACGTATTCTCCAGGACTCACACCTTGCGCCTATTCTGTATAGAAGGCGTATTGATGATATCATTATCCACTGGATCCATGGAAAACAGCGACGTATGGAGCTGATCGGCCGATTCAACAACGTCCACCCTCGAATCACGTTCACCTATGATCTGAGCTGCGACAGGGGCTGCGTAGACTATATAGATGTCACCATCGCTTTTCAACAGTCAGGCGAATTGTCATATAGACTATTTCAGAGGCCGTACAGCAGTGGTTTGTTAGTTGACTACGCATCTTCAGTCCCTACTGATGTCAAGTTGGCCGTCGCACAGTCGCAATCCTTGAGGGCACAGCGACTCTCATCCAATGCTCAGATGCGGGTGGAAAGTGAACATAAGATACACCAACGGTAACCTCCCGCGACAGCGCGTCCATGTTAGCATGGTGCACTTCAGCGCGACCGCCTTAGCGCGAGGCATTTCAGCTTGGTGCCATTTCAGCGCCGTGTCTTAATAGCGCCAATGACTTCAGCGCGACATTTTAAAGCGCAGGACATGTCAGCGCCAATTTCTTCAGCTCAGATTTTTTCCATGGGAGGCACTTCAGCGCCGTTCATGTTAATGTACGTACGGGCACCAATTAGTGACTATTAGTGACTATCAATGACTATTGACAACTTGTACGGGTATTACCACTGCCATGTACACCAGTCGTCCTATAAAAGACACAGTATTTTCGGGGATAGGCCATCATTTCCCTTAATTTTCCTATGCAAGCTAACTCTCAAAAATGGAACTGAACAGATTTGAGACAGCCAAGGACTACCTTCTCTCAACCCCGCAACCTGCATGTCCGATTTCGAACAAGGAATGATAGCTGGTTTCGCAGAAAAATTTCCCGCCGCCAAGTCGAAAGGTTGTCGGTTCCATTTCACTCAGGTGATCTGGAGAAAGATTCAAGCAGCCGGCATGCAAGAACTTCACAATGCTGGTGGTGACCTACAGGATTGCTGTTGTCAACTGATGGCATTGCCATTCTTGCCAGAAGACCAGGTCACAGCCACCTTCGATTGGTTGGAGGAGATCGCCTCTGATTTAAACCTTCAACAATTGACAGATTACATACGGACACAGTGGATTGAGAATGCTAACGTTCCGATGTCG